GGCGGGGGCAGGACGCCTGGGCCTCCGCTTCAGTTATTGGGGTGCTGGGAGGGGGGGTGTCTCTGGGGGGGTGTCCCCTGAGGAGCTTCTCGGTGTCCTCAGCCCCTCCGCACCCCAGGGTGAGCACCCAGGGGTGAGCCAGGCTGTACCCTGGGGCAACACCTCCCCCCCAATAAACAAAACCTTCTTTTGGGCAGAGACCCCCCAGAGGTACCCCCTTTTCAGGTACCATTGCAGCAGCAGGGGGCTGCTCCCAGGAGGGGGCTGCTCTTGTAGCCCCCAGGGTAGATGACACGCAGTAGCATCAGCTGTGAGGGGGGGTCCTGTCCTCTCCCCATGCCCCTCCAAACGCCAAGGTTTGTGCTCAGCTCTGTGCTGCCCCAGCAGCTGTTCCCTCCCTTCCTCTCCAGGGTTTGGATCCTGCTCCACCAAGACTTGCCCAAGACATTCAAGTGTGGATGTCCCAAAAAGAAACCAAATTGCTCTTTTTGGGTGGGTTGTCTCCCCACACACACACATGCCTCAGAAGTGTTGGTGTCTTTACTCTTTCCAAGAGACCCAACTTGAAGCCTTGCTCAGGGAGGCTGAGTGGAATGTTATTAGCCAGGAGAGCCAAGTAGTATTTTTGCTTTAATGGTTGAGATGAGGAATCTCTTGTAAAATTTAGTCCTCGAGCATAAAAAAAATGAGTGGTTGTAGTGGTAGGTGGAAGTTGAACAGGTTTGTAAGATGAATAAAATCCATTATTAAAGCAAATTATTGTGCCCATCTCAGTGTTTTCACCAACACAGCTTCAGGTGGTGTTGAAAACTGCCCATACCTGAAATATTTGAGCTCTCTTGTTTTCCAGCCCCACCACAAATCCTTGGAAGTGTTGTTTTTTAGGGGGTCAGTTTTCATGTTGCTGTTTAAAGCCTCCAAATTGAGTACTTGTGTTTCACAGGTGTTGGTAGGGAAAAACAAACCCAAACTTCCTGGGTAGATGTAGAACTCCAAGTTATGTGGGTGATGTTGCTAATGGACTTTTCTTCTTGCTTTATTGAATATCAAGCAAGGAGCAGCCCTGAGGTCCCAACTTGCTGTTTAGAAACCATCTGTGGGTGCAGGAGGTGACGTGTGGGTGTGCTTGAGTGGCCCAAGGTGGTGATACCTTCACTAAGAGGGGTGAAAGGTAGAGAGGGGAGGAGGGCAGGGCCTGCCTGGGGCCTGAGGTTGAGGTGCTTCAGGTGTGAAACACTTGACTGCAGAGCTAAAGTCACCTTGATAACTTCACTTGGAGGAGACAGAGTTGAAAAGTTGCAGATGAAGGGAAGGAAGCCAGGAAACTTGAGTGGAACTGAGGTGTCCATCGTGCTGCTTGCTGCTTCTGGAGCAGGTTGCTTCAGCTGTGGGTTGACTGGAGCTCAGGCTGGACTTCTGGGGTTAAATCAACAATTTAATTCCTTTCTTTTTTTAGTTGTATATGCTGCAAGTTCTTCCAACAGGCTGCTTTGGTAGGTAGTTAAATCCCACTTTGCCAGAAGTTTTTTACTCCAGCTGCTTGTGTCTCTGCAGGGGTCCTGATGTGTGCTTTGCTCACCCTCTGAGCCTTTCCCCACCACTTATTTTTAGAAGTGATTACAACAAATCAACACAGGGTGTTTGACTTGAGAGGCTCTCCCAGTGTTTTCTGGAAATTTGTGGTCTGGCTGTGGTGCTCAGCCAGCAGGAGACAAAGCTGGTCAGGATTTAAGCAGTTAAGCTGAAGGAGCCTGAGCAGGTGGAGGAAATTGCAACGTGATACAGCAGAGGCCTGAAAGGGTCCCTCTTGCTGCTGATTGTAATTTAAGCTTGCAATTGAAATTTCAGCTCAATTTGTAATTTAAGCTTCAAGCAATGGTTACCTGAGAGAAGGATGGGAGACAAAAAAAATCTGGTTTCTGTAGGATTTTCTGCTCCAAATTGCTGTTTCTCATTATCTGCTCCTAGTTTGCATGTTCTTTTTCCTTACTCAGAACTGCACTGACAACCAGAGCTGTGCCTGCCAGTCCTTTATGTGTCAAGAAACCAGAGAATTGGACTTTTCAGCCTGTTTTTTTTTTATTTTCTAAAAACATGCTAAAAGCCAGGAGTCATCTCTGAGAGCTGCAAGATTTCCTTGGTGAGGAGATCAATCTGCAACCTCGCTGGCTTAAAAATACCTCTGTGTCCTTCCCTGGCTTTTGAAATTTCACAGCTCCATCCTCACCAAATACCTACAAGACAGAGAGATGCAGCTTCTCCTGAGCCCAAAGCTTCAAACTTCACTTCTTTTTCTCAGTAAAAAGAAAATTGACTTCATTCTGGCTCCAGCCAAGTTCAAAATCTGTGTTTCTTGCCCCAGCGAGAAGCAATTTGATTTCCCTCCACCTTCTCCACCAAAATATTTAATGCCCATTAAATCCAGTTAGAGCAATTGGCATGAAAAGAAATCAAATTGGTTTCACAACATCATGGTACCCAGCACACTTTGATGTTGGTAAAATGACCTGATCACCAATTAGTTTTGATTTCCAGTGGATTTGTGGCTTATTTTTATTTTTTCCTTTGCTGATATTAGAGTGAATAAGGTGAGATTTTAATTTGGTTTTGCTTCAAGGCATTCAGTGGTGCTGGGAGAGCAGAGATGCTCAGGAACTTAAAAGAATCACTAACAAATCTTGTGTTGAACTAGTTCAAGGGTAGAAATTCAGATATTTTCTAAGGGTTTAAGTAGTGTGTGTCCTGGTCTGGAGCCCTCAACACAAGAAGGACATAGAACTCCTGGAGAGAGTCCAGAGGAGCCACAGAGATGATCCAAGGTTGGAGCAGCTCTGCTCTGGGGACAGGCTGGGAGAGTTGGGGTGTTCAGCCTGGAGAAGAGAAGGCTCCAGGGAGACCTTAGAGCACCTTCCAGGGCCTGAAGGGGCTCCAGGAAAGGGGCTGCCAGGGACGCTCGCAGTGAGCTCCTCATCCACCATGACCCCAAAGTCCTTCTCAGGCCTGTTTTCAATCCATTCTCCACCCAACCTGTATTTGTTCTTGGGTTTATTGGGTTTGGAGGTGTGATGCTGAAGGCCCTGACCCCTCAGGTGACCCTCAGGAGGCTGCACCTGCTGCTCCCCCAAAGCTCAGCACAGCGACCCGCTCTGCAGCAACCCGCCTGGCACGCGAGCTGGTTTCCACACCTCAGCTCTTTGGCGTGACGCTTGTTTCCTTTCCAGGTATGGCTTTGTTGAGTTTGATGATCTGCGAGATGCAGATGATGCTGTTTATGAGCTGAATGGGAAAGATCTTTGTGGGGAGAGAGTGATCGTTGAGCACGCCCGAGGCCCCCGGCGCGACAGCAGTTACGGTTCCGGACGCAGTAAGCACTAACATGCATTTGTATCCCTGATTTCTTTGTAATAAAACAACATCTTATTTTTCTTTTTTTTTTGCTCATTTTATTAAAAAGAAACAAGTAATTTAAAAATAAAATGCTCTGACGTTATGAATAGTGTTCTGTAACTGTCAATGTAACTGTTGATCTGAGTATTTCTTAATTTGTTGTATTAAACGATTTAAATGGATAAATTAATAAATGCAGTTTTTCTTGTACTTTTTTTTAAATGATTATTATTATCATTTCGTTTAACTATTTGAATGGTTTATTTGCAATGTGCTGTTGAACCTAGATTTAACAAAGACCTCAATGTTTTAATTAAAAGAGTCCTTTGAGGCTAAGATGACTGCCCGTTCCATTTGCTGACCCTGGGTTACCTTTCCATGAGTGGCTCTTTGACCTTGGTGGCCCTTGGCTGACCCAAAATGGAAGCCATGTGACGACCTCAACCTTTTCCCATTAGACCTGGGTGGTGAGGACCCCAAGGGTTAGAGACAGATGAGATTAATCTGAAATAGGTGCCTGAAAAGCTTTATTCCTATCAGATATTCAGAAAACCTTTAAGCAATGTAAGTAACATTAGTCAACTGCCTTCCTTCCATTTCTGCTTTCAAACTGTTAATTTTAATTGCATGCTGAACGTAGCTTAATTATAATTCTGTGCTTTGCTTGAATGATCTGCTTGTAGTCATTTGATTTATTGATTAATGCTTTGGATCTTTGTAACGTTTTATAAAAAGGGGGATTGAATTGGGACAAGTGGGTGGGTGAGTTGGTGATGTCTTTGGGAGCGTGTGGGGCAGGAGAGTTTGTGTCTGGGCTGTAGAGCAGGAGCTTCATTTCCTTGGTTGAAGTTCTGCTGTCTGCTTGTCACCTCCTAAAGGTGGATATGGTTATAGAAGAAGCGGAAGAGATAAGTACGGTCCTCCCACCCGTACAGAATACAGATTGATTGTGGAAAACTTGTCCAGCCGCTGCAGTTGGCAAGATCTGAAGGTATGGGGGCCCCTCTTCTCTCTTACAGAGCACAAAGGGTAAAGAAAAGTTGCACCAGGGAGAAATGGGGTCCACTATGTTCTGGACCCAACCTGTGAACAGGGCGGTGAGCATCCAAGTAGGTTTAGGTCTTAACACACATGTTAAGTCACTGTGGAAGTGTCTTTGTACTTCTGAAATCATTCCTGTGGCACTGGGAGTGGCACCTGCAGGACCTGGTGTGACTCAGAATAACTCATTTTCTTACCATAAACTAGCATCACCTACAGGTGTGTTTTTTTTCTCCTTAAGCCTTGTCAAAACACACTTTAATCAAGCCAGTGCCTGAAGGGGCTCCAGGAAAGCTGGGGAGGGACTTGGGACAAGGGCAGGGAGGGAGAGGACAAGGGGGATGGATTAAAACTGGGAGAGGGGAGATTGAGGTTGGAGATGAGGAGGAAGTTGTTGGGTGTGAGGGTGGTGAGAGCCGGGCCCAGGTTGCCCAGGGAAGCTGTGGCTGCCCCATCCCTGGCAGTGTTGAAGGGCAGGTTGGATGGGGCTTGGAGCAGCCTGGGCTGGTGGGAGGTGTCCCTGCAAATGCAGGGGGCTGGATCTAGATGTTCTTTAAGGCAACTTCACATCCCAACCATTCCAGGATTCATTCTGTGGTTAAGCTGGTGGTATCATTCTCTAGAAATGGAGGAGTTCACCCTTGGAATTTGGATTTCAGTCACCTACTTGTGAGGTGCCAGAGCTATTTGGGAACCACAGCATCATTCTTGTAGTCTCTGTTCAGGATTTCCATGCCATGTAGAGCTGTTTGAAAAGGAGTTTCAGGGAGAGGATGTTTCCAGCAGTCAACGCAAAACCTCTGCCAAAAGCCAGTGTTTTCTCCAAGTCTGAAGGAGCAGAATGTGACCCTGGGCTGTGGAAGTGCTGGGTAACAAGTATGTAGCCCACAGACCCTCCAAGGATGCTGGAGGTGAAGTGTTGACAGGTGATTATCTGCATCTGGATTGGGGGGCAGGACAAGGAGTAGAATTTCAACAGCGGGTGCCAGAAGATAGTGTTTCCTTATCAAACTCAGCAACAATTGTTAAAACAACTTGTTCTTACAGGAACGCTTGTTTTTCATGGTTCTCTTTTAAGGCTGTGTAAAACTTGTTCTAAACAAACTTTGATGTAGTAGAAACTGGTCTGTAATTGACTCCGTGACAGGAGCTCAGGTACGTACTGAGATCCTTCAGAGGTCTCTTGTTTCTGCTTAACCCCATCAGTAGCTTGTCTTGGCTTCTGGTGTTCAAACTTGTAAGTAGATGAGTCCTTGACTGGATGCTTTGCTTTGTTTTGGGGTTTTTTAAGATCTTGTGGGGGTTTTTTTGCAGTGTACTTGAGCTGGGAGTTGCTGGGTTGAAAATGGACTGAAGTGGAGTTGTGTGCCCCATTGAAAGCTGGCCCAGGGGCTTGGTGGAAGCAGGGCAGGAATGGCACTCCCTGATAACCAGAGGGGTTTAGTGGCTGAAACAGGGAAGCCAGGAAGTATGGAATGGGAAAAGGAATTGAGCTTTTCCTTGTGGGGCAGGTTTCATCCAGCAGGATGAGACATGTTCCCCAGGTGGAGGACAGAGGGAAGCCTGCTTGCATGTAGTCCTCTTTATCACCTGTCCCAAGTTACCTCTGAAAACATGATTTAGGGATATAGTTTATTAAATCATTCTGCAATTGGAAACTTCCCATAATCCAGAGCATCTTTGATATTAGGCTCGAGAAAGGAGACCTTAAGTTACCATTTCACTCCAAACCGTCAAGACCATGTTAGTTCTAGTGGCACAAACTCTGTGAAATGCTCAGGAACCTTGGCCTTGGCACTGTAGATGCTGTTTGGTTCACACCCTTGCTGAAATCCATGTGGATAGAAGAGGTTGCAGAGATGAGCAGGGTCAGCCTGGAAGCCTGACTCTGGATTCCAGGCAATGGTTATTCTGTCCTCTTCCCCTAGGATTATATGCGTCAGGCAGGGGAGGTGACATATGCAGATGCACACAAAGGAAGGAAAAATGAAGGTGTGATTGAGTTCAAATCCTATTCTGACATGAAAAGAGCCCTTGAAAAGCTGGACGGGACAGAAGTAAATGGCAGAAAGATTAGATTAGTGGAAGACAGACCTGGATCGAGACGGCGCCGCTCTTACTCCAGAAGCCGAAGCCATTCGAGGTATGTGTGTCTTCATGTGGCTCAGGCTGAATCTGGCTGATGTCACCATACAGCAGGTTCCAAAACACCTTGGAAGTATTTAGAGGTCTCAATAAATTTAGGTTTTGGGAAATGATTAGTTACCTGGAAGTAACCAAGGGAAATGAGATGTCTCCCTGGTGAATGTGTGTATCTGCTGAACACCCGACCCTGCTGCTCTGCCCAGCTCCAGCCAGTCCCAGCCCTTGCTGTCTTGCAGGAAAGGGCTGCATGGCAGGTGGAGCTGTGGAGGAAACAGAAGGTGCTTTTAGCACTTCAGCTCTGAACACTGTGTTCTGCTGTGAGCACCAGGACTAGCACTTCTTTCCCAGTTTGGAAACCCCCGCCCGTTCCCTGTGCTTAGGGATTTGCCACTTGCCTTGTGTGCTGGGGAACTGTTTCATCACACAACACCCGATGTTTTCCCCTTTCCATTCTGGGGTCGAACTTGTCACAAGAAAACTCAAGCAAACTTCTACTGTTCCTTGAACAGCTTGTGAATCCAAAGCCTGAGAGCAAAGCTTTTATCCCAGTGTCTCCCTGCATTTTTATCTCCCAGAGTCGTCACGCTTGGAAAAGAGCTCTAAGATCCCAGAGTCCAACCATCAAACAAAAAAAAATCGAGTCTGACATGACTGGGAAAGTGACTCTTGCTTCCTTGATTTCAATAAGGTTGCATGTTTTCCTCCAGATCAGGTGCTGTGCTCACCTCCAATCTCAGCAGCAGGGGACGAGCAGCGGGGAGGAGGGGACTTTATAACTATTGTGACACTGCCACCATTCGGCCGCGTGAAGGTGGTTTGATCCTGTGGGGTTTTACCCACAGGGGGCTCACCAGCTCTCCGTGGGCACGTGCTTATGTTGACCTGGTGGATTTTGTTCCAGGTCTCACTCTCGAAGCAGACATTCCCACAAGAGCAGGAGCCGCAGTGCCAGCAGTAGCCGCTCCAAGAGCAGATCAAGATCCAGGTAGGTCTTTGTGGTGGGAGAAACGGGGGCTGCCCACTTCAATGAGAAGCACCATCCTACACTTGCAGCAGGAACACTGTGTTTTTCTTTACCCTGCCCTCTGATGCCCAGCCAGTCCAATCCAGGCTGCACTCACCTGGAGCTCTGTTGCCTTTGCCCTTTCAGGTCTGTGTCCCGTTCCAGAAGCAAGAGCCGTAGTCGAAGCAAGAGCCGTAGCAGAGGCCAAAAAGAGAAAAGCAGGACTCCAAGTAAAGAGGATAAAAGTAGGAGCCGCAGCAGGAGTGCAGAGAAATCCCGAAACAAGAGTAAAGACAAATCTGAGGCCACTCTCCATAACAGTGATGAGAGGGCAAAGAGCAGGAGCCACAGCAAAGAGAAGAGCAGGAGCGGGAGTAAGGACAGGGGAGAAACGAGGGACAGCGTGAGGAGCAGGAGCAAGGAGAAGAGTAGAAGCAAAGACAGGGAGAAGAGCATTAGCAAGGCTAGAAGCAGGAGCAAGAGCAGGGATGAGAGTAGGGGCAGGGATGAGAGTAGGAGCAGGAGCCACAGTAAGGATAAAAGGAAAAGTAGGAAGAGAAGCAGGGATGAGAGCAGAAGTAGAAGCAGGAGCCGCAGCAAGAGTGAGAAAAGCAAGAGGCGCAGCAAGAGAGACAGCAAACCCAGCAGCAAGAAGAAAAGGAAGGACAGCCCTGAGAGGTCCAGATCAGCTTCCAAAGAGAAGGAGCATCTAAAATCAGATCCTGACAAAAAAGAGGCAAAAAGGGAGGCTGAGGATGGAGCATCTCGCTCCAGGTCTAGGTCAATTTCCAAGTCGAAACCAAATGTCAAATCAGGTTCTCGCTCCAGGTCTAAATCAGTTTCAAAGCCTGGATCCAGATCCAAGTCCAGATCTAGATCTGCCTCTAGGTCACACTCCCGATCCCGGTCAAGGTCTCGCTCCAGATCCTAACCTTGCTCCAACCACACCTGGAATGGTTGGAATAGTCTTTTGTACATGTTCAGTAGCTGTAGCACAAGTGAAGTAGAAAACCTGTCAATGCTGTATATTTTTCACATCCCTGGTGGGCTGGCTGGCACTGCAGTGCTCCCTCCCTGCCCTGTTCCCTGGTGCAAGGCTCTTCAGCTCATTTTCTGTCCTTTAGAAAGGTTCTCTTTAAATATAACTCTTCCAAGAGCTCCCAAATTGCCCTGTTTTCCAGGAAGAGCCTGGCAGAGATTGAGCACTGCTCATTGGTGGGTTTCTGAGATGCCAGTGATGACTGGTTAGGTAGGTATGATGGCTTCAACAGTCTTTGCCCTTGAACTGGTGCCCTTTGATGTTTGCCATTTAGTGGAAGTGCTAAGTCTTTTAAGTTTCATACTACTTTTGTTTCATATTTCTTTGGACTGACAAAAGTTGTGAATAGCACAGTCCCAAGAGGAGGAAAAAAATAGATACTTGCAGTAATTCATAGGGAAAAGAAGTATGGTTCCATATTCTGGTATTGTGACAATATCCTTGTTTTATATTAGATTTTTTTATTTTATTTTTCCCTGTCTTGCAAAGTACAGTGATTCCTGTTTCCATGAAACTTGAATAAAGACTATTTTTGCTTGATGACATTTGGTGGTGGTTCCATGAGGTTGTGTTGTGGTTGTTATTCAATTTATTACATTTTGGTTATTTAGATGGAGGTTGGAGATGAGGAGGAAATTGTTGGGTGTGAGGGTGGTGAGAGCCTGGCCCAGGTTGCCCAGGGAAGCTGTGGCTGCCCCATCCCTGGCAGTGTTGAAGGGCAGGTTGGATGGGGCTTGGAGCAACCTGGGCTGGTGGGAGGTGTCCCTGCCCATGCAGGGGGTGGGACTGGGTGATCTTTGACATCCCTTCCAACCCAAACCATTCTAGGGTTCTGTGTTACAGACATAAGAATTTTTCCTCCTCATAAAGCACCTCTGCTCAGGGGAGCCTTTATACAACAACAACACAAAAGGCAGGAGGGGCTTGTGAGATGCTCTGGGTTTGGAAACATCAGTGTCCCCAGCCCTGGTGTGTGTCCAGCATCCCCAGGGGGGTGGAAGGGAAGGAAGGCAACTTCCAGCAGGACTTCTGCAGATGTTCCTGAATAATACCCACGTTTTAGACTTGGGCCATTAGCAAAATGCTCAGACTGAACCTTCCACAAGCTCTGCTGCTCACAAGTGGCTCTGGATGCAGAAGTGTCACCCCTAGCACCTGCTCTGTCCATCGGCAACGCTCCAAAAATCAGAAGGCAAAACATATTTTTGTGGGTTCTTACTTGGCCTGGCACACAGCAGAGGTTAGTTATGGCTTTATCAAAACCTTTTCTTTAGCAAATTTCCACCTGCTAAACAACACTTGTGACAGCATTTTCTGGCAGCTAGATGTTTAATTTCAGAGCTGCCATTAATTCTGTATAACTTGATCATTTGAAACTTGTGCTGCCATATTAAAAAGATGAAAGGGTGATAGAGGATAAGAGTTGCTTTCAACACAAAATATCTGTAGAGTGGGTGAGTGGCTCAGGCTTTATCAAATGTCATATTACTACAGCAGCAGGAGAAAGCTCTGCAGAAGTGATATTTAATATCTTTAGTGAAGGAAAAGGCTTTTTCAGGTATATAATTTAGTGCTTTAACATCTTAGGCTTGCATAATAACATTTCTAATCCCTTTTTGCTGCTTAATTGTAGTACGGAAACACACCAGTCCAGGCAAGGTGTTTGCCAATAGGGGATAATTAGCTGAAAAATACCTTTAAGAAAACCTGCAAATGATAAAGTCTGGGCTAAGTCTTTAAAAAGTGACTCTGGTTTTTGCTGTCTGGCTGCCAAGGCTGCTCCTAATGAATGAGTGTGGCTTTAGTGAGCCCTTTGGGAGAAACATTTCTTCCCTAAATACCTGCAGACAGGCCTTTGGAGATGGAGGGATGTGGAAAAGTTTGGGCTGAGGTGAAAATGTTCCTTGTGTGCAGGGAGGGACATTTCCTACAGCAGGGAAGAGAAAAATCCCTGGAGGTTTTGTGTGGGAGCACCTTGTGTGGGAGGTTTCTGTGGGTCCACAGGGCCTTGGTGTGGGGCTCTGGTATCATTGGTTGGGAGTTTCCTGTTTCTGCTCCTGCCTTTTTCAGTTTTCAAAGCAGGGGATTCATTTTTGCAGGGAGGTTCTCAAGGGGTAGAAACAACAAGTTCTGATTTTAAAAAAATAAATACAAAACCAAAACCAAGAAATGAACAAAACCAAGACATTTAAGTCAAGCAGCCTGAGATCAGCACCAAGTCTCTGCTGCTGTAGCAGGAGCCTTTGGCTCATCTCCATGGAGGAATCTCTGTACAAAATCATGGAAGCATTTAAAGATGCACCCAGAGCAGAGAATCACAGAATTACTGAGGCTGGAAAAGCTCTCTGAGATCATCAAGTCCATCCAATGACCTGACACCACCACATCTCCAGCCCATGGCACCAAGTGCCACCTCCAGCCTTTCCTTGAGCACCTCCAGGGATGGTGCCTCCACCACTTCCCTGGGCAGCCCATCCAATGTCTGATCGCCCTTTCCATGAGGAAGTGCTTCCTGATATCCAACCCAAACCTCCCCTGGAGCAGCCCCAGGCCAGGCCTTCTGGTCCTGTCACTGGTTGCCTGGGAGAAGAGCCCAGACCCACCTGATCCCACCTCCCTTCAGGTGGTTGTAGAGAGTGAGAAGGTCCCCCCTGAGTCTCTCCAGGCTGAACACCTCCAGCTCCCTCAGCCTCTCCCTGTAAGATTTCCCCTCCAGCCCCTTCCCCAGCCTCATTGCTCTCCTTTGGACCCATCCCAGCACCTCAGGATCCTTCTTGCAGTGAGGGGCCATTTAGAAGCACTAGAATTTCAGCAAGAATTTACCTTTCTGGATTTCAGTAAGAATTCAGGCACCTATTGGATACAGGGTCTTCTGCAAAGCCCAGGGTTGCTGAACTGGGCTCCAGGCTCCTGCTGCCTCCACAAACCTTGCTCAGAGGCTGTGACCCACCTGGATTTGTCCTGAGCACGAGTAACCTCAGTGACTATCTGGGACTTTTTTGTGCCTGACATGAAGCCTGTGCTGAAGCACTTGCAACAATCAGATTCTGCACCCTCCTCTGCATTGTTTTACCCCCCGACGTGCCCAGATCTAAGCAGTGTGGAGTGACCCCAGCAGCACCACTGCCCCATCCCCAGGGCGAGCTGCTTTCTCAGCCCACCAAGCCACCAAGCTGCCTGGAGGTCACCACATCTCTGGCTGCTCAGATGAGGTTGCCAAGACAGGCAGGAACCCGCACGTGATGCAGCTGCAGCTCAGAGGATGTGGTGGCAGGACGTGGGGAGAAGAGTGACTTCCTGAAAGGGGAGATTTTTGTCAGCTGCAACCACCAGGAAGGGTCCCCACCACAGCACAGGTCACCTGTGCCACCAGCACAGCACCAGGCAGCGCTGGGGACGAGCCTCAGCCAGGTCTCTGCAGAGTGGTCTCGTGGTTGGTTCTGCCTCGTGAGTGTCTGAAAATCCCTGAGGGAGCCTTTCCCCCTGCTCATTTTTTTACCAAAGTGCAGGTTTTGCACCAAAACCTTCTGGCTCAGCAGTGCTGGCACCTCACCCTGGAGCTGCTGCAGTCACGGGGCTGCACACGATGGGCACGTGGAGCTGCTGGGGCTGGACTGGCAGCAGTTGTGAGGCCACTGCAATCACAGCAAGAGTGATCATAACAATCCTAGGAAGAAGAAAATAACAGTGACAACAATAATATTGCATGGCTGGAGAGGAAGAATCAGTGAAACATCATCTTCAATATTTCCATGCAATATTTCTGTTTGAATCATGAAATACAAGAGAGAAGGCAGGTATCTGCCCTGATGCACTGAAAAAAAGAGTCCTAAAAATCTTCCCACCTCATGGAAGAAATGCAGCTTGCAGGAGAGCTCTGAGGAGGGAAAGCAGGAATTCTTGTGGCAGAGAGAAAGCAGGTTCAGAAACCATTGCTCAAACAGTGAGATCAAAGAGTGATGTCCTAGTTTGAGCCAGGATTAAGCCCCAAAGTTCTTTCAGCAGAACTTAAATTCCTGCAATTAAAAGCAAAATATCAGTCTAAATCAATGTGGATAGTTTAGTTATTTGCCAGCTCTTGGCTCCTCCTCATCCCTGGATATCTGGACCCAGCAAGTGCTTAAACACTGACTGGAAACCTCAGCAGAATCAGGTTTTTCTCTGGAACGAGCTGACACAGAGGAGGTGAGAAATATCTTTGTGTTCTGGCTGATTTTAAAGACGGGTATTTTCTGTGCCTGGCTCAAGGGATGAAGAATATCACCATGTGTATTTCCAATGAGCCATTTCCAATCTCATTTCTTTATCTTCCTGGAATCCCATCCCACTGAAGCTGTCCCAGCCCGGGGCCTGGGCCTGCTCCTTCCCCGCCTCCCGCCACAGGGAAACAAACCCCAAAGAGGCATTAAAACCAAATAAATCCTTCTTTTATTGTTTCAAAATTCAAATACTGAGGGAAATAACGTTGCCTAATGAGAAGGAAAACAAGCTTCATGACTGCAGAGAGGAGGGGGATGTTTGGTGTCACTCGTCGGCGCGACGGAGCAGCAGGGATTCCCAGCTCCGCTTCCCAGAGCACTGGGAACGTGTTTCCATGTCCCACGGATGTGCCCAGCCCTGTCTGGCTCCTGGAGAGCTGCCCCAGGAGCTGGGACCTGCCCCAGGAGTTGGGACCTGCCCCAGGAGTTGGGACCTGCCCCAGGAGCTGGGACCTGCCCCAGGAGCTGGGACCTGCCCCAGGAGTTGGGACCTGCCCCAGGAGCTGGGACCTGCCCCAGGACCCAGCGCTGCCCCTGCTCAGTGTCATCCCAGTGCTGGCCCCATCCCAGTTCATCCCCATCTCAGTCCTGTCTCCCTGTCCCAGTTCACCCTCACACCAAGTGAATCCCCAT